AAGATGGAATTATTTAACTACCACGTCACCCCCTTCGGCCTAGGAAACGCGGCTTCTTCATTCCTCCACACGTATAATGAACGATTGAACCCACAACTTAGAAGGAGTAGAAGCCTATCTGACGCTTAGTGGTGTAACAGTGACGATGGGAACAGCAACTTGACGCGTCACAGAGCATTGTTTAGAGAACTGCTGGCCCTACAACTTCACTGTCAACTTGAGCTAAATGTAGTTTTGGGTCAATGCCAGATTTACCTATCTAGGGCTTTTGTATCGCCAAGGTGAGGTTTTTTGCTCCGCTTGAGGCTAAGGTTCGTGAATTTCTGAATTCCAGTGCCACAGATAGGAAAGGAGTTACAGAGATTCCTGGGTATGCAGGATATTAATCGCTGGTTCTGTCCAAACTTTTCTCAGATTGCAGCTCCTCTCACTGATCTTACTAGCACAAAGTTCAGTTCACCTGGACTAGAGATTGTTCAGACATCAGTTCAAAAGTTGAAGCGCTTGCTATCCTCTGCTCCCTGTGTAAAAGTCCTAATTTCAATCTTCCCCTTCTTTTTACACATAGAACGAGTTTTAAGCATGGGTGCTGTGCTACTCCAATAAACAGTCAACATCCACTGACATTCCACCCATCCTATATGTTACTATTCATATAAGTCCTAAACGACCCAGAAAAAATTAGTCCACTATTAGAAAAGGCTCAAGGCTCTTGTGGTGTCATTGGAACATTTTGACTGTGTATTAGGGCACTTCCCCATTTAAAATTAACGTTTTTTTTCCTGACCACAATCACTCACTTATATTAATACCATGAAAGTAAAAATGCTAGGATCAAGCGGTGGGGGCTCCCCCCCTCAAATCCAACCTTATGCTATTATCATAAAACACATAAGTGGTCATTGTTAATGTAATTGCTGACGCTCTTCTCCAGTCCTTAATAATTAATCAGTTACCATAAATTAACGTAATTTTTATGCCCCCAAATACCTTTTGTTACTTGTCATGTCAAATTCAGTAAAGGTAACTTCATCCCTCCAGCCCATATTACCTGATATACACATGTCATGTCTATCATTATATTTATATATTCACAGTAACGTTGTGTGAGGAGAATAACTGAGTGTTGAGTGGGTAGTGTGGTGTCGGGTGATGTACTGCGTGACGCTAACACTGTCCTGGGCCGCAGACCCCCCCCCCCCTCACTACACACCTAAGCTGTTTTCATACTCAATGTTCATACAGCCTAGCATTCCGACAACCACTACTTAAGAGTGGAATGCAGTCTCCGCTACTATGATCGAGCCTCACGTGCCCCTCCTATGTTCAGCGCTATCCTGTCTCTACACTAAGTATATAACCACGAGTATGCAGAAATACAATACTGTGTACTGCTGCCCTAGTTAGGGGCATAATCTAGTGACGGACGCTGTAAATTGTAGAAGTCTTGGCACAAGGGACTCGGATTAATATTTATTGATATGATAAACCAGAAAATAATGTGAAAGACATTCCATGCAACTCCTATGCGACCCTCCTTCGTGTTGGGGGGGTGTTGCAACCCTGATGGGTTTATAAAATGATTATTATGTATATATGTAAGTCTATACCTTTTCATTTAATTTTATATTGCTTTATTTGCGATAGATAGCTAAATCGTAAATGTAATGACTTTATATTATTATTTTTGAACTGTTATAATGTTATTTTAGTGCTTATGTTTTTTAAGATGTACGTAAATATTTTGCTCAGTTATCTTGATTGTCAAAAAACACTGTAATTATCGCTTGTCGCTCGTTATACTGCCGGCTTCTGAGGCTGCAGTTGTCCACGTACTATCACTGATCGAGGGCGGGTGTCCTCACCTCTAGTGAAGTGACAGTCTGCTGGAGACTCGCTGCTGGGTTGGAACACTTGTCTGTCCCTGACAGTCTGCTGGACGACTCGCTTGCTGGTTGGACAGTTTGTCCTGGTCTCCTTATTCCTTGTTAGTTCTGTAGAACTTTGTTTCACAGAACCTTGGTATAGACTTAGTGATTTTCTCGACGTTGTACTGAGTTTGTGTGTCCAATAGACACTCTGAGTATCTCAGGTCCTTAGCATAGCTTCTGAACCTAATTTTGTACTGGTTTTCAGAGGCATTGTCACAACAGTCGGAGTTTTACCATGCTGAACAACAGATTCAGCAATATGGGAGTTTTTGTTAACTTTGTGGAGGATCGGCAGATGGTCCCTACTTATGTGTTATAATATTTTCCCAGTTTTCCTGATTCTTCTGTGTCGCAGGTCCGCATGATAACATTGCTATTGGCTTAGCATTCTTTGTTGTTCAAGCAGACCGGTTCGGGTTGCCCAGTCCGTTCAAGAAGTTAATTTATTTTGAGGGACTTTGTCAGTCTCTTTGTTTAAGTCTTATTCGAGTCTGAGACATAGCTAACTACTTAAGACACTTACAAACAACGATACTCACACTTACTTGTACATATTTGTAATATCCTTATAAATGTTATGTAACCTGACGGTACTTAAGAATTTATAAATGTGATATGTGGTTTCAGCACAATAATATTGAAAACTCGAGAGATTGATTTTTATTTTGATTGCTGTAATTAATTTAATTTGATAATGATACCTCTAGACAACTTACTAACTTAATAAATTTATTAAATTTTAATTTCTCTAGTTAGTAGCCTACCAGTTGTAATCCTAAAGCACTATTGAACCATACTGAATTTTAATGGATAATTGGACAAGGATACTGACTACTTGTTACGAAAACCCAGTAACAGGCTGGATGCTAGAAGGGCAGTCCTTTCTAGTATTCACTGGAGATCTCTAAGCTTTTAGAATCGCGTTTTTTGTAACAAACATGTTCAATGACAATGCCTTGTACCATTTTAAGCAAATCTTAGAGATGCCATAAGCAGATGAAAACCGAAGTTCCACTGTATCTTTATTTAACTACGTGTACAAGGTATACAGACCTAGCTGACATCAATGACATACTACTACATGTATATAGAAAGCCCTTTGTTATGCTGAGCATTTCGGGTAAATTAGGTCGGTGTCCCAGGATGCGGCCCACACCAGTCGACTAACACCCAGTTACCCATTTTATCGATGCTACCAGAGCCCCTAATGTCTGATTCTTGAGTTAATCATCCTATCAGGCTAAAAGTACAAGAGATGGCTTCGTTTGCCATCAAAAACACTTTTTTGGGGGCAATAAATTAGATTAAAATACTCAATACATACTATTTACATTTTGGATTTTTCAAATTCATCAAGGATGAGAGTGCACTTGCTGATTCAGTCCTAAACACCTCAGTGGTTTAATATCAGCTAAGAACAATTAAGCACAATAAAATTCCAGGTTCATCCATCTTTCCATGCAACTAAAAGGAATTACTTCAATTAATATTTGATCTTGGAATATCAGCTGTTTTTCCTAATAATGCATATTTTTGTCAGTTTACCAGCATTTGTAAAGAATTATCTTAAGTCCAGTAAATGATAATTATATAATTATTATAATCATGGGGGAGTGCTAAACCCATAGGATTATACAGCACATGTTGGGGGGGGAAGGTATTCAGACTCATTTCAAGGAACCAGAGCACAGATCCAATTCCCTAGATCAAGAGCCCCTGACCAGCATCAAGGAACCTCTCTTGAGGGGCAGTAAATGACAAGAAAATTTTGGATGGGTTCACCATGCTGAACCTCAACTGTGACACTGCACAAGCGCTGACTTAACTCATTATCAGTGCCTTCACAGAAAAGGCATCAAGAAAAGCATTAAACAATTGATAAAACAATCAAATTTTGTCTCAAGTTTCATTTGGTGCCTTATATTTTTTATGTAACCTTTCTTTAATGGTTAGAGGTACTCTGGATAAACATGGCCTGGAGCTTACTACACCTCTGAGAGGTCCTGATATGGAGTGAACCCGAGTTATCATGACAGTCCAAGCCCCCATGTATCCCAGAGGAACCCAAAGAACAGGGCCTGAACATAGGAGGGGCAGTATAATCACAAAACATGCTAGCAGGAACACAGTTATCCATTCCAAACAAGAAGCAGTCAGGGAAAAGCCACTTGGAAAGCCTAAAATTGGCCCCAGGTGAGGAAAGCATATCACAATACCCCAACACAAGGATCCCCAGATCTCAAAGAAAAAGCAGAACAACCCCAAGGGTGGCCGTATATGGAGCACCGAACTTTCAAAGGCCAAACCCCAATGTTTTACGTGGACAACCAACCATTCTCAAGTCTTAAGAGTAGGGCACGGCAGGCAGAGTGGGCATCATCCTCAAAAAGAACATGAAAGACAGCTGCAGATGCAGACATTATCCCTGAAGCTGCCAGAGTTGGGCAGATGGTAACCCAGCCAAAAATACTGATGTGGAAAAAAATCCAGGTAATAACTGGGGTCAGTCGTGTGTACACAACAAGGTACAGTATTAACTACGGAGTGGAGCCACCTAGATTGTCTTAGGCACAAATAAGCTACAAGAGAATCCAAGGGGTAGATCATGATCACATTCACAGAAGGAGCACTAAACCCATGGGTCACAATGCCTGGGGAGCACTACGCCGCCCATACATGTCGCAATGCCTGGGGAATGATATGGGTATTAAACAGGTATAAGTGTTATAATTCAGGTGGAACGCATATCCCCCACAGCAGAAATACGTACATCAATACTCTGATAGCCTCTCTAATAGTTATGCATCCCAACAAAATTATTAACCCAATGCCTTCCAATAAATTCTGTCCTGCCTCTAAGGTAATACAAAATGTAATAAATTATGTTTATCAAAACACAGTGCATACATATAATGTAACATCTGCAAAGATTAACTCAGGATAAAATACATCAAAGGAACATGAAGACAATTACTGCATATAACACAGCCACTGTAAAGAAAGAATACTATGATTTTTACTCCCATCAATAACACCAAACTAATCTACATTAAATAATAAGAGCCTTACAGATCCAATATGCCTTCCATGAGAATCTATGGAGAAGCTGCTAAGATGTTCTTGAGTTATGTAGAAATAGCATGGCCATTTATTAAACATTGGGTGACTGGAGTGGTGAAGATTGTGCCTGATTAAGTTAATGCCTTGTTCATCTTCTGAGAAATCCTCCATCTCAACATCCTGCTGAAAACTTGGATCACACTGGGTTATGCCACATGACACTAGAGAGATTTGCTGGCTGTCATGAACAAGATAGTCTTCCAATGGACCAGCTGCTCCTTCTGGTTCACAGGAGTCTATATGACCAAAATCAACATATTCACCGATATTTTTTGCCTCTCCTACGCTACAGTTACCACTTAGCTTAGATTTAACTTCTTCCTTCATACAAGTGTCTGACTCTTCATTACGAAGTTCACAATTCATAACACTGTCATCAATACTATCAGATGCAGGAAATCTTTCAACTCTCTTATTTTGTACAGGCACTGTTTCTCTGGCATCATTATTTTCACTACAACTAAATGACTGGTCTTCCACCATACTTTCTTCCACATCTTTGGGGTTAGCATCCCTTCGAGACTCGGAACTGCTTTTTTCAAAAGTATTCCCATGGCTACCTTCCCCTGTCACTGGAGACAAAACATTACAATCCAAATCTTTTCTACCGTCATTTGGTAAGCCACAGTTGAGATGCACTTTGCTGCGTGCACCACTACTAGTATCACATAAATCAGGCAAACTAGCCTTGGTACCAATTGTTACACAATCTTCAAAAGACTCTTCTACCCCACCTGAGGGTTCCCCATACGAGCGAGGCGGGAGACCCCAAGCTCCTTCCTCAGTCTCCTCCCCATTACCTCCACTTTGTGACATACTTGTCATGAATTCTTTATCACAGGCAGCTTGAGCAATAGTGGTGTCTGCGTCTATATCGCAAGACCTACTATTCCACATAGCAACTCACCTCAGTGATCTGTTCCTGTCCATCACTGCTGGGCGCATAAATCTGGAGGAGGCATTGATCCCTCCTCTTCCTGGATACATCAGCTATGCCCCACCTCCCCAAATCAGTTTTGGTGATTGCTGGTATTCTCTCTCTGCACTCTGTCACCTGCCCTGCCTTTGTGTGACCTAAATGCTGAGACTGACAGACAAAACTGCCTGCAAGACACACTGGTGTTGGTGCATTCTCCACTGGGGAAGAAGTTGATGGCAACATCACATTAGATGCGAAAGAAACATTTATAATTGCCTAACCTTCTCCCACTCCAAGAGAGAGGAATACACACACACAATTCCATACTGCTTACATGGAAAAGAGAATTCCACTACTTTAACAGGCAAGCATTTTTCATTACAAAATTTTTAATGACGTTGTATCTTTTGTGACAAAACATCTCATTAATAAACATCATTCCTGACAAATAAATTCACGGTTTTGACGAATTTATTGTAGGATTTCATCCAACTTTAGGAAACATTTTCAAGATTACACTACAGTATATGCAAAAAAAAAAATCACTTTTTCAGAGCGACAATTTGGAATGTTTCGATTCATCCCTCCTCTTCTTTCTCTTCTTTTTCCTGTGTCGTTCACAACACCTGCAAGAGAAGATTCCAAGCTATTACTCTCATGTCACACACACAACTTCCAAATCCTGATAAACAAATTTATTTTCAAGATGTACATAACTGCTACAAAATTAAGACACATTCATTTCAAACACTTTGGAAAGTGCCTGGCTATCAGAGAATTTTGAGTAAACTATAACTAGAACTTAAAAACTACTTGACATTATATAGCTGAAGTTAGATTACTTGAAGGATAAGTCTGTATAACTAAACTGACTGTGGGTAAGATTAACTGTAATGACTATTTTATGTAATAAAACTGTGTACTATACATTAAAACAGCAATGTTAGCAATAATTTTAGTTAGTGTACAATAACTACTGAGGGAAGAAAAATAGTGGTGACTATATGCATGAATATAAATGCTGACAGAAATCAGGACAAACAGGTTGCCTCAGGAACCATACTTGACACTTTTATTCATTCTAATCAAATTTGCATCAAATTCAGGTGGTATTTTTATTTTATTTTTTTTTTTTTTATATATTTTTAAAGCAGTTGGCAGACAAGGAACTTTCAGAATCTTCTAAAAGAGTGTTTCTTACTCTTAAAGCTTTTATTTGCATGGAGTTTAACCCTTTGACTGTCGAAGGGCCCAATCCTGAAGTTGCTCATGGTGTCGCAAAATATTCCGAAAAAAAAAAAAAAAAATTATTTTTTCCTTATGACAATGTTAAGATTATTTTTCTATTGTTTTAGTCACCAAAAAAAATAAAATTTTCCCATCAGTACTTACCGGAGATATAGATCTGAAGTTCTGAAAGTGATCTGCTGGCGCAACAGCGGTGACCTGCCGCTCACCACAAGCCGTAAACTTCTATTTACTTGTATTCATGGTTTCTTGTTTTTTTTTTCACTATTTTAATTTTTTCACATAACTTTTGTGGCCTGGAGACCAAAATAATGTGCAATGTTTCAAAGAGGCACTCGTTGAATGTAACACAATTATAGCAAAAACACTCTACATGGTTATAATGTTTGCTAAAACCTTGTTTACACAAACAAACAATGTAAACAAATGTTATTACTATAGCTTTATAATATATATACATATGTACATCACAGGACACTTTATTAAAAGGCTGGCAGATGTGGAATTTCTATTGAAAACAGGGAAAAGCACAAATGGTGAGTCTTACAACTCCTCACACATAAAACAGTGTCTCTGCGTTTTTGTTGGCGTTTTGATGGTATGTCCACAGACAAAACACCTCTTCTGAGCATTTTTCCTTGCATAGTAGCAGCAGTGGTATGGGGTAGTGATCACCAGCCTCAGAACGAGAGGACTTTGTTGATAAATTTCGGGGGCGCTGGTCCTATGCAGGTGTTGTTTCTTGGTAACTTGAATATATATGCTGATGACTGACAAACCAGATTCACCATATATTGGGTTGTTCTGGTCTTCAACTTATTACATATTAATAAGCATTCAGCAATGAAATGTCAAGAAGATGGAAAAACGCGTTTGATTCCCACTTATAACTCTTGCCAACACAGTCCAGCAAACCCAATCTGCATGTCACATTTGTCCAAACAGCGCATATTGAGTTGTAGTCCAGTCACAGCAGCAGGTTTTAACAAATAGGTCATGTCACTCTATTCTGCTTGCTGCCAGTCTCGCACATTTCGTGTCGGTGAACTGAATTCAGCAGTGTACATCACGTTTGTCATGCCACCGAAATGCCAAGGATGTCATTGGTGGCAGCAACACCTGCACTTCACATCTACGACTGCCAGCTTCGAACCTAGGCATATGTTTACAGACTTCTACGCACTGTGCCACACCCATCTGTCATGTTCACTTCGCAAGAAATCACTGAGTATAGGGCTTGTGTACCAGTTGTCAGTATATAAAATAATCCCCTTACGCCAAGATATGGCTCCATCATGTTCTAACCCCATCAACCAGAGATACCCAGTAACTTCCTGTATCTTCCATTGTTTTACCGCCAGTGTACACAATATATCCAAAACCAACCATTTTTGCAATCAACACGGGAACAAATAACTAATACCCAAAGCGTTTCCTCTTGCTTGGTATATACTGCTTAATGAGAAGGTCTTTCTTCCTTTGAACAAAATCAAAGACTCTTCAATAACAAGCTTCCTGAAGGGAAATAAAAATACATACAGCACTTTGTTTCAGGTACATAAACACACGACTGAATCTATTTAACCTTCCGCTTCGCAGGCCTGGTTTTTGTCTGAAAAGTGTAACATACGTAACAGTAACCAAATCTATTCACTGGTATAATGTCACCAGCAGGGGTTGAAAATAGGCGGTCTGTCGTCCCGTAAATGTGCTGACACTATGCTTATACACAAGTGGCATAAGCTTTAATGTGGGCAAGAACAATACCTCTCTGCACAGTTTGTCCTTCCACTGGTGTAGGCGTGATCTTGGGTGAAAGCATAGTGTTTGCCATGGTGTACTCATAGTAAAGTATTGTTTTTCTTACCCGACAATGAATGTCCCATCAGGGGTTCATCGAAGAACAACTGCAAGCATTCAGTTCACTGGGATTGTTCCCAAGTTGTAACATGATGGCCGTATTCCACTTTGTCCTCCATCAAAGTCATGGGGATTGGAACAAACTCGTCATCTTGATGGCCAAACCCAGATGCGGTCAGCTGGTGCGTTCTGGATATTGTAATGTCGTGTGGTTTGTGCAGCTGTGGTTGTGGTTGTGAAGATGTGGGGTCGGCCGAAGCAGGTTGTAGTTGTGCAAGAGTCAGCAGCGCGGGCTACTAGCGTGGCCCCTGCTGGAGTCCCATGACTCATGGCAACCCCCGCACTAATCACCACCACTCGCCTGCTAGCCACACTCACGATATTTATACCCACTCCGTAACAATATCGTCATCATTCACATCAGGACGTGGTGTAGGGCCACGGGATGTTCTCCGAGATGTACTGCCTTCTCTGGAAGAGCATATGGCACACTACCAGACAGCATGCGACCGTCGTACATACTGACTGCCGTATTCACTGGGAATAGTTCACCCTCACTGGCACAAACTTTAAGTGCTTTCAATAACCTTGAAATCATCTACAACTATCACTTGCCTGCTCACATCTGAGTACATGTACACGGGCAAATAGTTTCCTCTTTTCGTCCGGTACAGGTGCATATGACGAGCCGGCCTAGCACCAGAGGTGGAATGGTTGTGGGTCCCTGTGTTTTTTCATCACTAATTAGTTATCCTGGGTAATTTTCCTCTTTCCTCGGTCACGAAGAACTGCCCGCTTCAAAACCAGGGGAATTTACACTTTCACTGACGACTATCATCACACTGTTTGAGCTATCGATTGGAACAAAAACATCCAATCCGCCGGGAGTTGAGAACTTCTTACCGCGAGGCATGGTGAAAATGGACCTACCAAGATGGCGTTCCCTACAATGCACCGCTGAGGTCCCAGGTTTTTTTCACAGGGTGCACACCGACCACTGGAGCCCATTCTCCTCGTGTAGGCCTACCAGCCCTCCTCCCGCTCGATTTTGAAGCGCTAAAATTATGCGTAAATGATACGTCAAACACGGTACTCCCATGACGTACATATACGACCTCGACAGTCAAAGTGTTAACATGTGGTAAATAAGATTTGTTACTTGTATTTGGTTATGCATCTGTGCCTGGGTTAGTATTTGCATCGAGCGTCTTGTAATACAGTATTCAGAGTATATAAGGAGGGTGGCAAAACAAAAATGAGCATGAAAACATTATTTAACTTTTGAAGCATATAAGTGCATTGTCTGGAGCCTGATCTATTCATCATTCTAAACAGGCAAATTTTTTGTCATTACATGAGTTTTTGGATGATTTCCTACTGTAGATCCTCAAGTTGCCTATGCAATAAATGAAAGTTAGACAGATTGGTTAATTCTGTGACCCTTTCAGGGTTTCAGCAGTTACTAGTACGGCTATGCTCCAGGTTTCTTGACATACTATACAGTGGAACCCCCGACATTCCGATAGGCATCGACATTCGATAAATCCAACATTCGATGCATTTAAAACGCAAAATTTCGCCTCGACATTCGATACGATTCCTACGAGACTGTCCACGTGTGGCCTGAACTGCCCCGTGTGTGGGACTGTTTTACAAACCAGCCAGTGTGCCGCGCATCAATGATACATTCCAGTACATTCCATATTATCCATATTATCAACTGATTTTTGGGTGCTTGTTTTCTGCAAAAAAAAATTGTAAGTCACCATGGCCCCCAAGAAAAGCTACTAGTGGCCAACCCTGGTAAAACGGGTGAGAATTATTATGGAAATTAAGAAAGATTTTGAAAGGTTTTGGCTAACCCTG